TGGATGGATGGATGGATGGATGGATGGATGGATGGATGGATGGATGGATGGATGGATGGATGGATGGATGGATGGATGGATATTTCTTAATGTTCTTTCTACCAACATGGTATGCAAACTGGACTGTTAATAATTAAGTTTTTAAAAGTGATTTTGTATGATTCAGAGCCCACAATTCACTTTACATTTTTACTTAAAATAATGTCAAACATCTGGGAACTAACTAGGTACTATTATAACTTATTTCTACACAGGTATTTATAATTTTACTTACGTAAAACATGTAAGTACTTTTGACACCTCAGACACCTTTTTATTTGCTTCCTTTAAAATCGGAAGTTTACATACGTTTCATGATTATTAGGTGGAATTGCCTTTAAAAAATGTTTTTTCAGAATTCTAGACTTAGACATTTTGTATACACAGAATGTTTACAAAACAAAATGTAATTTAGTACAGCTCGAAGAACATTTCTATTCCATAAAGTGCAGCAGTGATCAAATGTAAACAGTGTGGGAGAAAAAACATGGTGCAAAAAAACACATTGATATGGAAGTTCAAAGAATTAAATATATATGGTGCAAATATGCTGTGTTGTGGTTTGGTGTTAAAAGTGTGATGCAGAGTCTGTGACATGATTTAGAGTTGTTGTCATCAGTTCAGATGTCTGATGGCAGTGTGGAAGAAGCTGTTGCAGAATCTGCTGGATCTACATCCAATACTTCGAAGCCTCTTCCCAAAGGGCAGCAGGGAGAACAGTCCATGGTGGGGGGGTGAGGGTTCTTTGATGATGTTACAGGCTTGAGACACGCAGCGCTAGCAGCAGTGGAGTGTGGTTAAGCCAATTTTTCCTGAAGTCAACAAGGATCTCCTTTGTTTTCTCCACATTCAGGATCAGACTGTTATCTTTGCACCAGCCCACCAGCTGCTCCACCTCCTTTCTGTAGTCCTGGTCGTTGTCGTCTCTGATGAGGCCCACCACCGTGATGTTTTCCTTCCACAAATTTTCTGGAATAGTGTAACCTTTGTATCTACATCGGGTCTGTAGGCCCCCTGATATCCTCCAACTGTTCATAATTTTGAACAATTTTGCTGTGAAATTGAGATCATCAACTTGAACCTGAGACTCTGAGGCATAGATTTTATGTTACTTATAGTCTACTTGGGTTGTTGGACCCAAATCCAGCCAAACTTTAACTTCTTGACTGTTGTGCTAATAAGTTGTCTAAGTCTATGGCTACTCTGAATCCAGATTGGATTTTTCTTATAATCTACATATATAAAATCATATTGGAAAAAAATGACACATATTGTAACATTCTGAACTGTACCAACTTTATTTATAAGACAGTTTAAAAAGAAAAAAACAGCTAAATCAATGTATGTCTGCACATGGCAGCAAACAATAAACATTCCTTTTAAGAAATATATAATAACAATAAAAGAGTTTCAATAATAATAAGGGTTTTGGCAAAGACAGTCTGGTTATGTTGAAAGCTATATCACAAAAACAGGTTTTTAAGGTTGTTTTTTAAATTGATATGAGCAATTTTAGCATTGATATTAGTATGTGGCTGTTAGAAGATATTTTTCATATTTAATCTTTTTTTTTCTGAATAAAATGAAAATCACATTTATTAGTTTTTTTTAGCTGAGGATAAAGTTAGGACATGCCCTAAACTTTGCATAAGTCAAGGATATTTTTCTTGGAATACCCTTTTTTATCCCAAACCATTGATCTGCTCTGTGGTTTTATTTTTTTCTGTATTCTTTCTGGCAAACATCTCGAGAAGCAAATGTTTCTTTATGGCAAATCTCCCGTGAAAGTTAGATTTATGAATTTTTGTTTTCATTGCAGAGGCATGCATGTGCACATCAAGCAATCATAACATTTTTTTTAAGTTTTCTGAGACTTCTTTTAGCATTGGATCGTCTGCTCTGCTTAGGGTGAATGTAAACTGGATTATCACCCTAAGCAGTAAACTGCAAAACCCCTTTAAAGTACCGAATAAAGACTTTCAAGACTTGTAAAGCTGAGGTGTAATTTTAGCAGTTACAGCATTTGGGGCGCCAATTTTTTTTTTCTTCTTTTTATTTAAGTTTATAAAGTTAACATTCACTCTAAATATCCATAAGTCCAAACATGTTAAATAAACACAGGGTCTGATAATTTTTAACAAAATGGAATCAAAGCCAAATTAATTACTCTTTGTATTTATTTTCTTATTCGATATGTATTCACGTGATTATATGTGTTATTTTCGGCCCTTTTCATAATTAATATGGCACTGATTTAAATTTCTAGCACAGATTTAGGGGTTTTCTAGTTGTAGTGGCGCATTGGTGCCGCTAGGTGGCGGTAATGCCGGAAACTGAAACATAACCCGCAGTTGAAAGGTTAATGTTGAAACGCACCGGTGCCATTCGGTAAACGTTAGCCTAAAATGGCTAAGCATCATCCAGATTTGATCTTCTGTCGAAAACAAGCCGGTGTCGGTATGTTTTATTAAATGTTCTTATTAATAAAATAATCCGCAACTCTCGCCTCCTTAAAATGTCTTCCTGTAGCCTCGCGGTAGATAGCATTACCCGCTAGGCTAATGCTTGTAGCATGGATTTCAATGGAAATGTTGTTAGCTTCGATGTTAGCCTTTAAGTTTCTACGCTCAAGTGGCTCTTTTTAATGTTCCTCCTACACCTAAGGTTTGCAAACGAATCTTTGGGTTTAAAAATACTATGTGACTTATAAAGTGATACTTATAATAGATGTATTACGGATTTATTTTAATAAAATATCTAACTGACTTCTTTGTTTCTATTCCACAGCTATCGGGAGACTTTGCGAGAAATGTAAGTGTTGACATTTTCAGCTGGAAAACAGACTAACAATAATGCTTAATAAAATCTACTGCTTTTAGTTCTATTCCATTTGCCCCAAATGGACAGGGGTGTCAAGGGCTTTAATTATTGTGCAACAGAGTCAGTTTTGTTTGTTTTTTATGAAAGAAAAGAAGCAGCATTTCACTGTCATGATAGCTACCTGTTATATAAGGAAACACACAGATTAGATCTAAAAACTGTGCATTGCTGAAAAAGGTTAGTAGTTTAACATATAGTTTTAAAAAATATGTTATTTAATAGTTTATTTGGATTATTTAAAGACAAACTCCTGAAGCATAAAAAAATGTTGCATGTGACTAATTGGTAGGAAGATTCTCCCATCCTGACAGACCTGCTCTTTAAAGTAGAATAAATGCTGTAATTGGAAAACAAAGAAGGTCATTAGAGTAAAGGATTGGAAAAGATGCTGTTGTGGTGAATCCATAAAACCAAAAAACAACAGAACAAGAAAGATGTCCTTGAACCCTGTATCTTTGACTATTGACCCTCTAGACCAGTGACATTTAAGGTTAGATTTACATATCTAGGAAATGTTGGGTTAATAATAACAATAATTTTTTTTGTCATAGTCAGGTATTTATAAATGAAAAAAGATTTAAAAAAAGATCAGTCTCCTTCGATATATATTAATGGTAGAAATTAAACAAAAACCATGGGGAAGATATGTGCTGTTGTCAAAGGGAAAACCATGATTTATTAACATACTAAATTAAGAAATCTTATTTTCATCATTTATTATTTCTATCTGTCTGGCTAAAGCCTGATCACTGTAGACAGATCTGCTGTGCAACTTACTGCCGTACTTTTATTCATTTAAAATTCTAAGGGATAGAGAGCGTTGATGGGAATAAAAACAACTTTTGAGCTGAGAATAAATATCCAAGAAAGTTTAACAATCCACTGGACTTTGTTTTTCAAGTTGAAGACGTTTCGTTTCCCATCCAGGAATATTTCTCAATTCAAAATGTCTGGATTAGCGTTGAGTTCCAAGCTTTATAGAGTACCCCAACGAAGCCTTGTTATGGCTTAGAAAACATGCAAAGTGAACCGAAAGAACAGGTCCACCCCTTAGTAATGGGGAGTCAATGAGGTGGTTGTTTGCCTGCAAAACCCCAAACTGGTCCGTGCCTCTGTAAAGTGGAGTCATTAGGGTCATTGTTGGCCTGGCTGACCAGGGGAGATGTTTTGATCCCCTGCATTGGGGATGAGGATTGAGATGATAGTGGGAACGAATCAACTCTGTCACTGTTTTGTAGGTTTTTGAGAGCTGGAAACTCAGACCATGCCCTCTGTTTAAGAGGGGGTGGAGAAATATATCAGAAACAGATGAAGAATATTGGTTTAATAGTTTTGTTTAATCCAGTTTTCTCTCCTCTTTGCCTCTCACCACTTCATCTTTTTTTCCTTCTTCCAGGCGATGGAAAGTGCGTCATCTGTGACTCGTATGTGAGGCCGTGCACGCTGGTGCGCATTTGTGACGAGTGTAACTACGGCTCCTATCAGGGACGCTGCGTCATCTGCGGAGGCCCCGGCGTGTCCGATGCTTACTACTGCAAAGAGTGCACCATCCAGGAGAAAGATGTGAGTTTCCTCCTCCTACTGGACCTTTTAGGTTTTTTAGATCCAGCTGATTTCTGTTCTTCCTTTTTTCTCCTCTGTGCAGCGAGATGGATGTCCTAAGATTGTAAACTTGGGCAGCTCCAAAACAGACCTGTTCTATGAAAGGAAGAAGTACGGCTTCAAGAAGAGGTGAAGAGATGCTCAAGTTCAAGATTTTAGTTCTGCAGTTTTTCTAAAACTTCCAAGAAACTTTTTTTTTTTCTTTAATAAAGTGTTCTTTTCTATTTCTGTGTACATTTGTTGTTACTTGGTTATTAAAAACTGGGATTTCATTCATTTAAAGTCCCAATTTACTGACTGGTAAACTTTATTATATATGAAGTCTTAACCTGAACAAGTACATTCTCATGATAACATTTGTATCTGTGTAGTCTAGTAGAGATTGGTGGATGATTACATTTAGGAGTTCGAGATTGTAGATTCAGCTGTAAATCAATTACATTATCAGTATTATCAAGATTTAGCAAAACTTGCTGACTTTTATTCACATTACCTTTAACAAAAGTAAGACACTAAACTTATCAGCCCAGCTCTTTGGGTGGCAGTTATGAATTAAGCTAGTTTGCTGCCAAACAGATGAGATGTTAGCGTCTAGATCCATGTGTGATAGAAGTAAGAACATTTTCACGCAAAGGTTACGGTCAGTCCTGCATGGTGTCTGGAGAAGCAAACCTTCAAGGTCATGAAAAAAGCTGAAACTAGAGTGAAACATCTACATTCTTGTGCTCGGTGCAAAGAAAATTTGCATTTAAATCACAATATTGGTTGAAAATAATCTCCACTTGGATTTTGCCAAAATCATTCAGCACTATCAGCAAGTACATAAACACATAATTCATCTCCAAAGAAAAGGGAGATTAATTATGTAAAAAGTCTCATTTCTTTTTTTTTTTTTTACCTCACCTTCATCATACGGTGTAGTAGCAGATAAATTTGGGTTTTGTCATCCAATCCATCCAATATTTCTACTTCTACACGTTATATATTGTTATGGTGAGAACAGGACTTAAACGGATCGCTATGAATCATCAAATAATACTTGCTTATCAAGTTATTACCCCTAACTTAGATTATTACCTGGTCTGTTTGCTTTGACGATCAACTTTTCGTTTTCTTAATGAAAACGCATAGTTTGACTACTAATTTCAGGTTTAAAACATTTTTATATCAAAACTAGTCTAGAGCTTGTAGTAGCGCAATTCAGCTTTTTGACCAGCAGAGGGCAGCAGTTGTATTGTTATTTTCTAAATGGCCTCAAAGTTGAGTTTTAAATCCCGACACTGTTATCTTAATATAATATATTGTAATTTATCAAGAATAATACTGAATTAAAAATATTTAAAGATTTATATATCATGAGAATGGAGGGGGAAAAAAACACTTTTATTGGGAATGTGAAAGCTATACTCTTTAATTAGTTTAAAATATCACTATCATATCAGTTTAATAATAATCATAAATACATTTATAAGCTGGGTTTCGATACATGTTTAAATAAATGTCAGTGGCCTTCAAAAAAGTTTAAAAAATGTCCTTATTTAGTGAATAAAAGCCACAGATGCATGAATAAATAATCCAACAGGAAGAATAATCTGTGACAGTGTTAATTATTTACTATTCTGGGCTTCCAGAACACTGAAACTCACTGGTTTCTAACAGCCCTGGTATCCAACATGCACACAGTTTAAAATGCGCCTGTTCATCGTGCTGCATGATGCACCATGTTACTTTTTTGCAAGCTAAATTCAATTATCTGATGAAGAAAAAACGTAAACATGATAAATCAGCCAATTCTCAGACTAACATGGTGGCTGCAGCACTTAGATATAAGGAGCTGAAGGAGATATCACAGCAGGTGGATATTAGTCCTTTATTTTAATCATCCAGTGGTGATTGTGAAAGATTTAATTTAATGAATCAGATCTAAACAGCATCCAGAAAATTCTTAAAGCGGCATATTTGGACAATCATTGCAGGAGGACAGAAAAATATCATTTAACTCAGATGTTTTCTGACATGTATTACGTTTTTCTTATTCCTGGATACTAATCATGAAATGTTTATAGTGTTAAATCATTTATAGTTGAAACACAAAAAAACTGTGTTAATAAATCACAAGCTACAGCTGACATTTCATTGTGCAAAATGTGAACCAAAGGGTTTGAAAGATGCATCGTCTCACTGGCCAAAGCTGGAGTCTTGCATAGCATGCTTCATATCTCATGATTTATTTATTTTTTTCAATTTAACTGGATGAAATAACTTAAACTATGAGTAAAGTAAAGAAAATTGCTGCTGTAATCTCTTATTCCTTTAATAACCAATGTGACTTACTATGATCCAGGATTTATACCAACGTTATTGTTGGTGTTTGGCCTCAGTGTGCACATCTGATGAAGCTCACAGTGGTGCTCAGTGAACCCAGGGGGGCTTATGTGTGTGCACATATAAAAAAAAAAAACACCATTATCTTTGGCTTAAAAAGTAAAAAAAAAAAAACTCTCAGAAAATGTTCTCTTTCCATTGTTGTTGCAGTTGTTTAACAGAATATTGACCCTGCATTAAGCTTAAAATCTGTCATACCTTTATAACTGACTATATAACTGACAATGGTTAGATGTTCTTGGTTTTAAGAACCTTTAAAGTTGAAAAAACAGACTTACAAAAGAAAAAAAAAAAAAAAGACTTTCAGTGAGCTGTCAGCCATGGCGGAGTCGTCCTGTTTACTGAGACATTTAAAGGCAAGAGACTCAAAGTTGTGTTCTGAAGAAGTCCTTGGTTTTTTTATATCAATATACTATTACAAGTTAGATTTTTAAATCCTATAATTAATAACATACTAGAATACTACTATTGATATATATTTTATAATTGTAAAAAATTAAAAACACTGGTTTGATCAATAAAGTAGAAATTAGAAATGCTCAAATTAAATGGCCTCAAGTGATATTTGGATACTTCTATGGCTTAATCATTAGACAATTTCTATAAAATAAAACGCTAATTAAATAAAAAAACAAAAAAAAAAAACAGATTGGCATTGAAGATTTTCAAATAAAATGGATTAAAAACGTACCATCATATCAGTATATTTTTTAGACCAATTTCATATCCACAATATCTGGATATGTCTAAGAATGGAAACATAAGAGTTTGTCTTTGAAAATGTGTTATAAAAATATGGTGTGATTAATTTAAATTACGTTAGAAACAAAGAACACATTTTAGTAAATTAATTTTTGTTTTTTTTAACAAAAGAAATAGTATGCCGCTCACTTTTATTTGACCCTGCTAGGTTTGTGTTTTAACACCCTATGTCTCTGATGGACCTAATAAAGGATTTCATTTTTATTGATCATACAAAACTATGACTAAACTGTAATAGATCATTAAATAAAACGTGACCAGAGACAGAGGACACTGCTGCTGAGCAGCTTAGCTTTTAGAGAATGTTGCTATGGTAACAGACAGCGAGACGGAAAACCCGGTTTCCCTGATTTCAGGTTTTAAAAAAAACAATTTTCAGCAAACATGCTGTGAAACTTTGGGGAACTGGACGTTTTCAAAAACTTTCCAGGACATTGAAGAATTTTCAACAAATTCAAGGACCCATGAGAACTCAGTCACTAGGTTAGAAAGGTTTTTTTTTTTTTTTGCTTATATTCCACAGACAAAGGACAGAGGTGGATAATCCAGGTCCAGAAAGTAAAAAGTCTGTAGAGAGATTATTTCCAGTTCCTCACAGATTAATCACCTGGTTAAATAAAAAGGAAGAAGGAAAACATGGCAGGCCTTTTACTCTCTGGACCTGGATCATCCATCATCCACCTCTGACCAAAAATATCCTTTTCTTTTTGTAAAAGTTTAGTTTTTTTCTGTTAAACCTTAAACTAAGGAAGAAGGAAAAAATCTAATGAGTTTCTATGTTCCATTTCCCTTTGGGAATAAACAGAACTAATTTTGTATTGAATGTTGCTTTGAAAATGACAAATTATGTAAAGTAGATATTAATCAATATTGAATTTCAATTTTAAAAAAGGTGATTTAAAGTTGCAAAAATGGCTCTTCTAACTGTGGAGGCTGCAGACACCTGCTGCTTAAATATAATTTAAAGTACAGAGAAACAAACAAAAGCCCCATACTCGTGTCAACAAGGCTTTAATTTTGCATAATATATACATACAAACAAACACAGGACAGGTTTACACTCAAAATGCCATTAAGGTTGTTTTTATTTTTTTTTAAAGAAATACAAAAAGACGTAACCAGGAAGTTAGGAATTTGACCTGTTTTAAAGAAAAAGGCAGATGCTGCCTCTTTTACAGAACAAGACTCTATAGAAAATAATAAAATAAAAAAGTCTGAAAGCCCATTATTGTTTATCAGAAAACCCCCCAAAAAAAGTGATAAAAAAAAAAGACTGTTGAAAATAATGCTGCGTATGACTGATAAATGTGGAGTTTAATTGACCTGGAATATTCCCCTGTTATGAATTTTAAATAAATTGATTTTTATCTAAAATATGATTTTAATTACATTCTTCACATTTCAACTAAAAGAAAAGGAATTGAACTAATCTGATGGATCAAACCACGGGTGGATGGAAGCACAGCATCTTAATAAAGAAGCAAAACACCTCTTTCCCTTTTTATGGGCGGAAAGTGGGTGAACCTGAGGGAGGGTGAGATCCGGGCTGTAAACTGCTAGACTGAGGGCTGCATTGAAATGGCTTTAGACGTCCAAGACACTTTGGATTTACAGGCCAGATAGCAGAGAGACCTTTCAGCTGATGGAGCTCATTCGCTCTAACATGTATGGACAGAAACCTAACATCGGTGAATATATAGTTTATACATTTTTTCCCCTCAAACCTGCTACAGAGTCGACACATTAACGCAGGAAGCAGATGAGTTAAAACGGACATCCTGCAGACGCCCAGAAACAGACGAACAGAGCACTTCGTCTCCGGAGTGATGATGCACAGCTTTTCTTTTTTTGCTGTGTCACTGAAATCCCCTGAAGCTTGATTACTGGAAGAGTCACAGTCAGATTGATTTAAAGATGAGCCCAGATCCTCAGAACAATCTGGTCTCTGAGACATCTAATCTAATCTAAACCAGGGCATCGACTGCCAAAACTTCAAAGGATGCACTTAAAAACCTAAAAGTCACGATATGATCTCTTTCAGGCAACAATCGTACAAAACAAAACATAATAGTAATAAGAGCACCCCAACAACAAAGGAGCGCTAAAGAAGCACTTATCCACCTACATTCACCTCATCCATTAAAGGTGGAAACAAATAAAAAAAAAAAAGATGATATCTTAACATTTTACATCTCCATGGCAATGTCACATCCTGCCTTCGACGTCATGGGATCGATTCTTGCGTGCCACAGCCAGCGCTTTGATTTATTGATTCATCAGAGTAAAATAAATGAATAAATCAAGTGATGTCTACTCGTCATCTGGCACCGCACTTGAAAGAGAAGAGAACAGGGATGAATGAGAGGGAAAAACAAAGATGGTGGCAGAAATCAAACAGCAGTCTGCTTTGGGGATCAGAGCGCCACCTACTGGATGAAGTAATGTTTTACCAGCTGGAATCCTGTTAAATTTAAAAAAAGTTTTGCTAAGTTCAGACCGCACACACTGGAAGCAGCAAAGAAGCTTCTGCTGCTTCGTTTTTGGTGCAAATTAAGGTCAGACGTCCAATAAAGTGTGTCCAGATGCGTCTGATGTTCCTGTGTTAGATGGCAGAGAGCAGCTTTGCTACATTTGCTGTGATCAGTGTGTAAAAAGTAGTTTATATACATCTTGAAGTGAGGAAGTCCACCTTAAAACATGGTCTGTGCAGTCAGAGAAATAATATTTGAATGCAGGATGGTAATCTGGATGAACTGTCAAAGCCACTCAGACCCCCACATACCAGCGGTGAGCTGTTACTGGGAATCCCGTTCAGCCTCTGGCCTGGTCTGTTCGCGGCGGCTGGAGGCGTTTTTCACATAATCCAAACTGCAGCCACCAGAATAATAAAATCTAACATATTTTGCTGGCAGGTTTCTACATTTCAAGTTAATTTAGGCGTTAATAAACTGTTTCAGAGGAGTGATCATAGCGCTCTGCATCAGCAGTGCTGTGTCCGTCTCCCTGCCAGCTCCCAGATCAGCTTCTCTGATTGGTTGATGTGGCACGTGCAGCAGCAAAAGTTAAAATTTTTCCAACTCCAGCAGCAGCTGCTTTCAAAGAGCGCCAGAAGCTCATAACGCTGTGCTCCTGCTGCTCAAAACATGCTGTAGGAACTTTTGCTGCACCTTGATCCGCTTCAACCAATGACTTTGCATGTAAACCTGCTGCTTCTGCTGCCTCTAGCGTGAGCGGTCTTAACGTAGCATAAGTCCGTTTATTATGACCTAAAAAGTGAATCAACCATAATATCGTTTACAGTCTCATCCAGATGTCAAGATTTTTAAATACTCAAAAAAAAAGGCAACTTGTCAGGTCTTTTTGCACGTTTATGTGAACAAAATCAAACCAGTTTCCCACATGCACCCCTCAGCTTTCCTTTGAATCTATTGTGCAGCTCCACAACACAAAACATGGGCCAGAATGCAGCTTTTAATCAAATTATACAACCATACAGACCAATTTGCTTCATTTTACTACAATAAGCAGCAAATAATCCCTTGATGCCTTAAATATATCTTACAAAAAGTTAAAACCTACATTTTCACTGATGTTTTGTCTTTTTTTATACAAATGCCAAAGCAGAATAAAAACTTTCTAACTTTAACTGTAGTTTTCAAGTGCTTATTACAGAGTTTTATACTTTTGTTTTATTGAGAGAATCTTGTTGCATTATTGTTGCAGCAAAGAAGCAATTTTGCTAACTGAAATAAAAAAAAAAAGTATTAAATAAATTAAATTTCAGTAGGACAGAGGCTTTAGTCAGGCTATCTGCAAGAGTAGCCTGCCCAAACTACCTCTGGTTTTCTGTAACGCTCTGTGTGGAAGCCCTCTTTCAGCTAGCTGTGTGCAGAAACGGGTGGGGGAGGGACCGTGCTGCTATTGAAAAATGCTTACTGGCAGGAATGGTGTGATGAAAACCTAAGGCTTTAGCCTCAATGCTTCACACAGGAATAAACTTGGTTGGTTCGACCTGAACTTCGCCCAGATTCAGCATCGTATGCGAAATGTTAGCTGCAGAGGGTTCATGTGAGAAAATGGCAAAACAAGCTTAACCAGAGAGTCACTCAAGAGCCAAAGGAAACATTTCCCTCTCAGAGTATTGCCGTAAATTTAAAATCTGTTAACTGAGGTCACCCTCTACGTCCTGCAGGGTTCTGACCCCCGCCCCGTGTTTAACTCAACAGAAATGAGATGAAAGAAAAGTCTTTCAGCAGTACGGATGTTTTTGGTATCTGCCTCCATCAGGATTCTGTCTATGCCTCCCAGTGGATAGATAATCGGACCGTTCTGGATCCCTTACATTGGTCCGTATTTGGCTTCGTAGCGACCCACGACGTTCTTGTATCGGCCGCACTCCTTCCGCAGTTCGGCGACCTCCTGCCGCAGCGCAGAGTTCTCACGCTCCAGGAAAGCGGCTCTGACTGTGATCTGGTTCTCCTTTAATCTGCGAGCGTCTCGTGACCGTTTGGCAGCCATGTTGTTCTTCTTCCTCCTCTGCCAGTACTTGTCGTCCTGGAAAAAATAAAGCGAGAGGATAAAACGAATTAGAGGAGAGTCTGGCATGTAATCAGAGCGTATCAGATTAGATCTGATTCTGTCTGGAAGTAGGATGGCAGACAGCCAGTCTCCTTTCTGGTTCTAAACAAAGATCTGTTTTCTCTGGGGGACTGAGGACAAAAATGTCAATGCCTGGAAACTGCTGAGTCACAGTGAGTCAGGGGACTCCACTTCATAGGACTAACAAGTTAGAAAAGCCCTGACTAATCTAATCAACACTTTAGTGAGAAGATTTCACTTTGAATGCATCGTTGTAGGAATCTTTGAGCCAAAAATGTCAGTTCGGTTCTAAAGTTTGGTCATCGAGGAGTTTTACAGGAAAAAGCTGCTCCATGTCTGAGCAAATCAAAACTCAGGTTTTGCTGTTTTGAAGAAAAAAATTTTCCAATGCAGCGAAAAGTGAAAGTTGTTTTTTTTCTTTTTTATTGACACTTTAGGTATAGATGATTATCAATTGATTATTCAATGCTGACCGTGCTTTTCCTTTAATACTTAAAGTGAGGATTTAAAAGGCGAATTAACTACAGCTACTTAGGCAGAGGTTTACACCAGATGTGATAGTTTTGCAGCTTTCTGGAAAGTTCAGCGTTAAAGCAATGCTGTGTTACTTTCAGCCACTAGGGGTGCTAGATCTATTCCTTCCAGGTTTGGCCTCATTTGAAGCAGCTGTTAACACTAAAAGGACCGGTCTTCCTCTAGATTCTGACAGCATACCAGTTTGGACCTCAGATTTAGGAGTCATGGGGCTAAAATGTTAGTTTCTTAAAAGGCTGAAGGAATCAGAATCCACTTATCTGCAGGTCAAACTGTTTAACAGCACAGATTGAAAGGTGGCCTTAAAGGCGTGATCTAAAGCAGCCATGAGTTGAACCCAACCAGCTTCATCTCCGCCCCGTTCTTACCTTCTGTTCTTCAGGGACAAACACTTTCTTGGCCTTTTTAATCATAGGCTGAGGCTTCAGCTCCTCCTCGCTGAACTTGTGTTTGCGCGGGTCGAACAGTTCGCCTCCAGGAACGCTGGACAGGACCAGGTCTGTGGGGTCCGGCTCGTAGTTCACGTCGACTTCGATCTCGTCTGGGTCAATGGGGTCGGGGGTCGCCCTTTCCTGCGAGGTGGTCACCTCTAAGCACAGGTGGGAAAATATCCAAAGTTTACATATCAGATGGCTGCAGGGTGAGTTGATAAAAAACTATTCAACCAAACTGACAATTTAAAGCAACCTAAACTAAAACAGATCTTTATTCCCCATAATAATCCTGCTGTAAACTCCACCTTGCAGCAGAGTCTGTTGCTGCCACCCAGCCAACTATTTCCCACTCTATTGTCAATGCAGTGTTTAAAGAGCAGGCATCCCAATGCATTTCTATTTTATGCATCTATGAACACACCAAATTATTACTAAGATTTTAAACTCAAAGCTACACCAGTGTACATAAAATAAGTGAAAAAAGAAAGAAAATGTGAAATGTAAGCCAGCAAATTCAACCTAATGAGCTTGTTTAGGGATAATATTGCCTCACTTTACTGTAAAAGTCTCTGCACTGTTTCCTGCTCACCTGTGCTGACATCACAGGTAACGTCTGAATCACTCTTTGTGATGATCACCACTTCCTCCTCACACCTTTCCAGCTCTGGAATAGGCAGCAGGGTGACGGGAGCGCCACCAGCTGGCTTGGTCTGTGCAGAGCTCTTTACTTTCTCGGTTTTGGCAGCGTTTACTGCTGGGCTTTCCTTTAGGGAGGCGTCGTCAGTTGATATTGGGATCCCGTTCTCCATGAGGAACTCCTCCAGGTCCATGTACTCCAGATGGAAGCTCTCACCATCGTAGGGAATGGTTTTCTCCCAGATGGCGGGGGTCAGAGCGGCTGAAGGACCCATGTCGCTTCCTCCTCCTGCCAGGTCGGCATTACCTCCGAGACCAAGCTTCTCCTTATCTGTGTCTGAAAAGGAGAACATGTGGTAAACTACACTGTAAATACACACAAATAAAATTAAAGTTTCTAAACCACTAAAATTTACCATTGTACCATTAATGCAAATGTATGTCTCTTTTCAGTGCAAAAAAAGGCTACTTCAGGTTTGCCTCTAGGTGGATGAGAAGAAAAATCCCCCATAGTTCAGAAGATCAAACTGATAAGCGCTCAGGTTAACTTTTCAGGTGGAGCCGTTCCATGCTTGTGCCAATCAGAGAAGGCATATTGACACCTGACAGGTGGGAGTCATCAAAAACAGCTCAAAGTATCACCAAATAACAGTAACTTTAATCAGTGGCAGCTCTGTCATTAATAAAGCGCCATTAGCACAGATGGAGCTTTCTTTGATGACGACCGATAAAATGCCGCCCGTCAATCAACCCTGGAGGCTCAACAGTCAGTTATTCATCATGAAGGCATCTCAGAAATGGGAATGTAGTTTATAATGACGCTAAATGTTGTCGGGGGGGCTATGCAATTCATGTACGCCTTACCGAAAAGTATTCAGAGGGTGGAACGCAGCTAATTCTGTTTACATGAAATAGGAGTCCTGATCATTGTAAAAGTTAACAGTTAAGAACAACAGGTAACAGTTGTTACTTCAGTGCCCTAGGCAAAGACAGGCAGGGGGCCTCTGAATGGAGAAGACAACACATAAAACAGACCCATTCTACAGATAGAGAAATGTTAATAGAATAGACATCTGTTCTAGGTTTTGTCCCTCTCTTCTTGTTTTCCTCTCTATGTTTTGTACTCGGCTGACTTTTCATGCTGTCTCTAAAGGAATGAAAGATTTTTTCCAAGCACTAAGCTCACTTAGCTGATTGCAACGACTGAAAAAAAAAAAAAAAAATCGCACAGTGTATGCCCGGCTTTAAATAATAGCTGCATGAATCATGACAGCAGACAAGATAGAGGAGAGCAGGAGGCGGGGTTACCAATCTACTTGCTCTGGAGAGCAGAGTTTGCTGCTTTTAGATGTTGTTGCCAAAGTCTCATGTAGCAGAAAAAAGTCACTAGATTTGGCGCTAGGCGCTTTTTTGAAATCAAAGTGCTAGAGGGGTCTGAAAAGGCGCTAAATATAGCAACTAAAGTGCGAAGTTGGCAACACTTCTCTTCAATGGTTTTCTGCTGTCTGTTTGGACCTTTCTGAACAATATGTTCACAAATAAGGAATAGTTGTATTAACCATAGTTGTGAACAGAATTTTATGATGCCCCCAGGAACTGGGGACCCTGGGCAACTGCCTAATTTCACCTAATGGTAAATCCCCCCTGCCCATAATATCATTATTTAAAAATGTCTTCTAGAAAACCTCACGTCCATTTGCATAAAACTGAAATGTTTTAACCTTGACCACGACCAGGATGACAGGGAATCTTTGCAGATTGTTCAAATATATTAAGCTTATATATTAACCTCTTTATTGCCAACATCTATCAGAGGCAATGTTTTGGCATGAGCTTTAAATATTGATTCAGAACCTGATTACACATGATTGAAACATGCTTCAAGCCTTGATGTCTGTTTTCATCACCGATCAGGCATTAATGCCTGGTTAGATGCCTCAGGTGACTCTGTGCTTCATTATATCGGTGGTACACCCCAGGAACATGTCGTCCTGGGCAGAAGCCCATTTTCCCCAATACATATAAAAAATAGCAAACATTATTTAAAACCAAAGCTCAAAACGTTTACTTTTATGTTTTAGTAGGAGAAGAAGCCATCAGGCATCCAGTAAGGAGCCCCCACCCCATCAAAGGACCTAAAATACCCCGCTTCCCAAACGTTACAGGACGTCCCAGCTCCTCATCCACCGCAGCCTTTAACCATGAGGAGCCTTAGCACCAATAACAGCAGGCCTTCAGGATGCCTCTGACTCCATGTCCTCTAAGGCTCCGCAGGTCGCATTGAACAAAACAACGCCAGGGGCAAATCTCGCGAGAAAACGAAATAAAAAACAAATACCAGAAATCTGAAAGTTCTGTCAAACCTGTCATCTAAAAAGGCTTTAAAAAATGTTTGCGTCAGCTTAACCACATTTGGTTCACGGGGCGGGACCTAGAAACATCTAGAGCACAGAGTGGAACACGGAGGCCCCGCTATACACAGGAGGTTTAGATCCTCCTAATTAAAGCTAAAAAAGATAAAATGATGGCAGCTAATCGCGTTATCGCGGCTTTTCCTCTTCAATTGTTTGAGTTCTCTCTCTCTCTCTTTTTTTTGACAGATTCTCTCCTCCTGTTCCTTTTCTTACCGTCATCTCCGTCCAGAATGTTCGGCGGAGGCATTTCCATGATTTTCTTTAGAACCACCGGGAACGAGCTGGGAGGCTCTCCAGCCGCCTCCAGCTTGATGTGAATCGGTTCCACCGACATGTTTACTTCTCCCTTGTTGTTCACGACTAAGGAAGCAAAGCACGCGGACTCTCTGCGGGTTCCAGTAAAGCTGCTGCACGATTATTTATTATAACTTATCGGCTAATTAAAAGCCCGGAAAGTCCCACAAACAACAGATCGAACAAAGCTCGCTTCTTTAATCCCACTTCCTCTAAAAAAACAGAAATGGGTTTTCAGGTTTTGCTGTTCGGATCAAACTACGCCTTCTAATTAAAAATGGCCGCGTTGCATCGATTCGATTGGCGCGCGGGGGCGCATCTCATTAATGTTGGCATACATGAGAGGGTGGGCGGGGCTCCAAGGCAGCAGCTGCACTCTCATTGGTTGACCGTGTTATATATGTTTCACTGAACTCAGAAAAAAACAAAAAGACTCGGCACAAAGAGTTTTTTTCCATCAAAACATGCCGCATTTTAAAAATTAAACCCAATCTAATTAATAATTGATACATGCACATTTTAAACAAACATATTAGTCTGTAGGTACTTTTATTTATATTTTTTTAATTTGAAAGGTCAATTTTTTTTTAATTTAATTTCACAAATACATTCAAAGCATGAAAGGCAGCAAAGGTCTGAACTAAAACATGTTGCGCACATATTAAAAACATATCGTTGCCTTTTAAGTGTGCAGCAGTGCTCACGTGGGGACGCACGTGCATGCCGCGCTTACATATCGTCCTGCAGCTCAGTATCTTTCGCTCACATGCATGGGGTGTGATAAAAGGGCGGCCGCGGTGTTTGACATGCCTGTGCATCACCTTCAGGTGTCAATTTCCCCTGAAGCGGAGCTGAGCAGACACAAGGGCAAAGGATCCGCACACCCTGTCCAGAGGCCATACAGGACATGTAATTAACAGGACTGGGTTACTGAGATGATTATAAACATGCAATAATGCCTGTAAGCTGTTTTGCCCTTTGCATTTCTTTCCAATTGAAAGCACCAACACAAATAATTTGCGTAGTACTTGATCTGATAAACACATACAGCTTTTCTTTTGTTAAGAAAATGTTTCGTGTTAATCTCTTATCAGACAAAATGAACTTGTATGAGAAGGCTAAAATATAGAAACATCTTGCCCCGTATAAATAAACAGATTAGAAATAACCAATCTATAGCTATGGAAAGGGCTGCTTCGGGACTAGATAAAGAGAAAACTGTACACCACAACTGCACAAGTTTCCTTGCAGTGTAGCGTGGAAAAGTCCTTTTTACCATTTCTATTTGTGTCTGGTGCATAGGGCCCCAAATTTCCTGAATCTGCCCCTGAGTCAGATCAGTGTTTTTATTTTACTTTTTCCGATACGAAGGGAGCCATATGCCGATTGTAAGATGGTCGATGGAGGTTTGAATAACTCATGTTAACCCAACAATTTCAGTGGGAAAGAGGCTTTAATCCCCTGATGGGGGTAGCCATACCCCCGCCTGAAGCTCCTAGGCAAAGGGGGGCCCTCTGAATTGACAAGACAACACATAAAACAGACCCATTCTACAGATAGAGAAATGTTAATAGAATAGACATCCATTATCTGTTCTAGGTTGTGTCCCTCTCTTCTTGTCCCTTTTCTCGTTGTTTTCCTTTCTACGTTTTGTACTCAGCTGACTTTTCATGCTGTCTCTAAAGGAATGAAAGTTTTTTTCCAAGCACTAAGCTCACTTAGCTGATTGCTCCTTCCTGTGTTTCAAAAAAGGCGACAGCAAAAGTAAATAACAGTCCTATTCACTGTAGACAACCCATGATCTTCTGCTTATCTATTCTCCATTTTTCCCTTTTCGCTGAGACACACTTATTATAAGCGTTCTGATGGCATTTTAGCCAAAGGGTTTTATCAGAAACATAATTAGTGTGCACAAATAAGGAATAGTTGTATTATCTATACCCAGGAACCTGGGCCCCTAGGCAACTGCCTAGTATTGCCTAATGGTAAATCCCCCCCTGATCTGACTTGACATAAGATCTGAATGAATTTAATATTCTTAATGAATACTTTGTTCTGTACAAAGTTGAATGTGCCGACAAAAAAATAAATAAATCACACAAACGTCATTGGAAATCCAATTTATTAACCAATGCAGGCCTCGATTTGGATTCACACAAAAATACAGTGGAAAATGACAATACAGGCTGATCCAACGTTGATGTAATGTCCTCAGTATTGCTTGTTGCCTCCACATGCCTGAATGACCGCCTTACAACACCTGGACATGCTCCTGATGAGGTGGTGGACGGTCTCCTGAGGGATCTGCTCCATATTCGCCAACTCCTTGACAATCCGTGGTTCAACGTGACTGATGGACGTATCGAGACATGACGTTGGATTCAGGTCTGAAGAATGGCGGACCAGTCCATAGCTTCAATGCCTTAGGAACTGCTTCATCCACATGAGGTCTGGCATTGTCCTGCGTTGGGAGGAACCCAGGGCCAACCGCATCAGCATATGGTCTCACAAGGGGTCTGAGGATTTAATCTTGGTACCTAATGGCAGTCATGCTACCTCTGGCGAGCTCTTGGAGGGCTGTGCATCCGTCCAAAAAAATGTCACACCACACCATTACTGACCCAGTCCCAAAACTGGTTATGCTGAAGGATGTTGCAGGCAACAGATTGCTCTCCAAGGTATCTCCAGACTCTGACATATATGTCACATGTGCTCCTGTAGCACAGGGCGCCAGTGGCGAATTTGCCTTCATATCATCCTCACGGAGTCGGCTTCCAAGCGTTTGTGCAGACAAATGCACATTTGTGGTCTGTAGGATGTCATTTTGCAGAGCTCTGGCAGTGCTCCTCCTGTTCCTCCTCGCACAAAGGCGGAGGTAGTGTTCCTGCTGTTGCCCTCCTATGCTCTCCTCTACATGTTATTCATTGGCCTGTATCCTGGTAGCACATCCAGCTTGTGGACACTACGCTGACAGACACAGCTAACCTTCTTGCCACAGCTGGCATTGATTTGCCATTCTGGATGAGCTGCACTACCTGAGCCCCTTGTGTGGGTTGTAGAGTCTGTCTCATGTTACCTCCAGTGTGAAAGCACCGCCAACAATCAAAAATGACCAAAGCATCAATAGGAAAGCATAGGTACTGAGAAGTGGTCTGTAGTCCCCACCTGCAGAACCACTTTATGGATTGTGTCTAGCTAATAATTTCCACCTGCTGACTTTTCCATTTGCACAACAGCATGTGAAATTGATATACAATAAATTTTGCTTCCCAAGTGGACAGTTTGATTTATCAAAAGTTTGATTTGATTAATGTTATTTGTTGTTTTATATGTTCCCTTTATTTTTATATAAATTTTGAACTAATATGTATATGTATTAGGGATGCACGATATAATCGGCCCCCTATCGGTATCGGCCTGTATCGGCCTTAAA